TCTAACAATTCGGCTCCTACTTTTCTCATTAAATTCACCACAATTTCCATTGTCTGCTCTGATGCCTTCCGTTGCCATCCCTGCTAATACTGCCAATGTTAACACAAAGCTGTGCTCATCAGTCAGAAGCAGCGAATCTCAAACACTCCACGCAATTCTCGACACCTCAAGTTATTCGAGTATGGATAGTCTTAAGGCCAATTGTGCACAAGTAACACAAAGTACAGAAATCATGTCACGTTGATCACCAGGAAAATCAAATGTTTGGTCTAGGAGACAGAATGGTTGTTGTATGCTCACCCCATCCGGAACTCATGATCAAGCCTTTGAAGTGCTTTGGTCATTGTGCTTGTTGAGCAAATTTCCAGTGCACTTAGAGCAATTTCAATAGCGGTTACAAAGTATTCCAGAGAGGATAAGGAAAAGGTCACGCGCTTATCCACCACATCCCATTTTGTGTTCTCAAACAAAGGTTAATTGGCCCTGCTTTAACCTACGTCATGCTGGACCTACTCAAGGAACCTCCCATAATAATCTGGTGGATTCATATTCAAAGGCCGTGCCTCTCAAATCTGTCACAGCGGGTAATATCGTTAACCGCTTCTTCCAGGTATTTTAAATCATAGTATGTTGTAGGCTATCGTTACCAGAAATGGCATGTAGTTCTATTGTACTCGATTAAAGGACTTTTTCCCCGGCCTTGAATATCTCCCTTTTATTCTCTCCTTCTTCTCTCAATTGATTGGATGAGTGAAGTTTTGAGTGTGAAAAGGAGCCTCCTTGTGTCATCAGTGGAACACTAGCGAAACCTTAAAATTTGAGTCCAGCTGTAGGTGGGTTATTGGAAAAAAACTCCTTTTTCGGTATGGAACGTTAGTTTTCAAACCGTCAACGTAAAACACAATGATTTTCCTGGAAGTGTGAAAGAACTCTATCATGATATCAAGAAATTCTGGAGGTCAACAGCATTTCTAGGCCAAACCGATACTTCGGATGCTTCAGATGACCTCTCAGAGAGTTATGGTGGAATATGGATGAACAACTGTGGCGGAATATATTTAATAAATATGAAGAAGACCCGATTAAGGATTTAACGTTAATAATTATAAATATCACATTTGAAATTGTTTTCAAAGTAAATTGTTGCTGCTAAACAATAATTTTATTCAAAGTAAGAAAGCCAGCTAAATCTTATGCAAAAATTGAATTCTTGTTTTAAGGTTCATAAAGCTATAACAAATAAGAAATTGCTAATGAAATATCTATCGATACTCACACTCTGATGCTGAATTAATGAAGTAAATTCAAATACTTTAGAAATTTAACATCTGTTGAAACGACTGACCTGCGAACAAGCTTATGAGAGACCAACGGACGTGTACTAGAACTCCATTACCAAGTCGAGTCACCGCACTACAAGGAAATGGCAACTCAGATGCACTGAGAAAGTAACTCGGTGCCCCAAACTTTCCATTCGAAGTATCATATTCAACTCGAAAGTGGGTTGATAAGAATCGCTGTTACCAAGGTTGTGCTTCAAATGACTCGAGTCAAGCCTTTTGACAACTTAGTTTCCTCTATTTTTTCTTCAAGATTACTAACCGTGAAGGTTACCATAAAGTGACTAAAGACTCACTGAAGTTCGAACAGTACTGGTTACATATAAATAAACAAACAAATGACTATGCACATATGTGTGTATGTATGTGATCAATGACTTCAAGTGATTGTCTTTAAGAGATTCATATTAGCGCTCCGAAAAGGAAAAATACCATTTTAATCTCAAGTTAACCTTAGTGAGTTCAACACCTCTCAATAGTGGCATTCTTAGGTTGATAAAGTTAATTGATTGGCTTATGATTTAATTCCAGCTACCAATCCTAGAATATTCTCAAAAAATTTCAATATAGATGAGAAGGGAGAGAACTTTTCATGGAAAGGATTTAAGTTAACGTTATTCGATTGGCACACAGAACTTAGCTCCATGCTTAAAGTATTTCGGACTAACGAAGTCACAATTTGATACCATAAAAATTGTTAATGACATCAACAAAGAATATCTAGCTCTTTGCTCACTATTACGTAAGACACCCTTAACAACAGGACATTAAAACACAGAAATTACTAGTTTAAATTTATGACAAAGCGAGTTAGAGATTTGACATACCTGATTCTTGATTTTAGTAACAAGATTCTTATCTCTCCAATCAACAGTATCTGGAAGGTCTTTTAAGGCAAAAGATGATATCCATGGCTTTGCAGGCTTTCCCAAAGCCATCTTTTGAGGTTTTGTTCCTAGAAAACGATCAGCAAACTCCGAAGTTGTCAGATCGGCAAATTGGTTCAATCCAGTCATGTAACTTTCCAGTCCAGCCTTATAGCGCCTGTTCTGACCCTTGATGTAACGCAGATTCATAGCAAAGATTCCCTTTCTATATTGCTCATCTATTTTACTCTCATAAATTGGATGGTGTTGTAATTTCCAGGTGAACCACGCTTTGTCTATCTCCCTTTGAGTAAGAAAAATTCGGCTTTCTGCCAGCACCAGGTAAACGAGAAATATAAGAACTTTCGAAGTAAGCATGCTGTTACTCCAACAGACTATCAGTGAACAAGTGTAATCGAAAGTGAAGTTTACCCCAACCCCCCAACTGAGCAATAGGTGCTCCTTTTAAATGTAAACAATTCCACTGTTGAATATAAACAGTCCATGGTGATTTGTATATGTGGTGCATGTTGGTAATTACTGAATACTTGATTATTTATATTGAAAGATTGATCTATGTTTCTAAATGCCACCTAACATGTGGGCTACATTTTTCATCAATTGCTACTGGATAAACATCATTATATTTTTAAGCAATCACATCCTGTTATATGTTTACGTGATCTCACTCCTCTCTTTCCAAACCCCAAAGGGAGAGTGGAAGGTAGCATTACGACAAATTCCTTTTCAAGCAGTGTTTATGTTAATCTAAGATGCTGAATTCACATGGGGCTGGAGAGTGTATGCAACTATCAAGAATGCCCAATAGGATCACGAGAGCCCACTAGAACATTGAAAAAAATTGTGACAAATATGGAGAGGTGGAAAGTTAAAGGCAGCTTGCTTGAGACACTTGGGCAAGGGTACTGGAGATTAAACTTGTTGCATCGGCGTTATTTATCGAAAGAACAATAAAATATTAGCCTCCAGACTCCGTTGACTATGTGTGTGATAAGGCTTAGCGTTTCATATAATTCCTCCTTGTAGCATCGATAGATCTCTCACCAGGTTCTTTAATAATGGCATCTTGAGAGGTATTTCCATATTTGAACTTCAATTTTGACACAAATACATTCAGGCTGTTTTATCGGTCTCGGTGAAATACCGCCAAACGTTCGCAAGACTCCTGTTCATTATGCAAAAGTATTCTTCACTCTCTAATTGTGGTTCGAAGATAAAGCGATACATGACAATTTGATTAGTCGAAGTTGATGAGAGTTAACCAGGCGTAGATAGAGCTCAAAACCAGAAGTTTTCACGTCATTTCCAGTAAGTTAATGTTGAAGCATTCATCCCCGTTTTGATCCGGACAATCATTCCATTCCTTGATGATTCATTGATTTACCAGAAATGTCAATTCACTTTTTCGTGTGAATTCGTGATCAAGATCTTGCCCATTTAATCTGCTCATGAATCTTGAAATACCTACTTAGTAAGCACACAAGTTAAAGGTGAAAACCGAATAAAAACTTATTTGACATAACTTGATTCACAGTAATTACCACATCCTTTGGGATTCTCTTCAAGAATTTCGAATTAATGAGAATTGCAATGTAATTAGTTGAGAATTAGGAAATAAGTCTTTTGACAGCAAGACTAAAAGTATGTTCTTCCATCAGAGACTAATTCGTATTTTAGAATATAGATTGATTCACTGACTTGTGATACACAGCCTCCATATGGTTGTAGTGCTTATTGGTCTTACCTGCGTCTGATTAACGGTTGCATTCTGTTACACCCATTAAGCCATCCGTTCATTCTTTAAATGATTCATCCCTCTGACCTTAAGCTATTTACTACTTTTCCGTGTCATCTCACATGTATATTTTTTTGCTTCAATCTGTTCGACGCCTTCGTCGATTTTAAGCAGCTTGTTGACTTCAGGCTTGCCGTTTCCCCTTTGTTCTCTTTTAATGTGAGTACTGTGGAAGTAGTCGAATTTGACACACAGTGGGTAATGGTAGTTTGGATTCTGAATATGGCATAGAGTGGGATGATGGTAGTTTGAAGTCAAGTAGTCGAATTTGACATACAGTGGGGTGATTGTAGTTTGAAGTCATGTCAAATGCCGGTTAATAGACTTTTTTGCCGTATGAGAATGTAGGACATATAGGGGGGTCATGGTAGTTTGAAGTGAGAAGAAAACTGCCGGTTAATAGACTTTTTTGCCGTATGCGGAGAAGTCAACTACCAGTTAATAGACTTTGCCGTTGAAGTCAGAAGTCAACTGCCGGTTAATAGAATTTTTTTGCCGATAGTTTGAAGTCAACTGCCGGTTTATAGACTTCGAATATGACATAGAGAAGTCAACTGCCAGTTAATAGATCATGGTAATTGAAGTCAGAAGTCAACTGCCGATTAATAGACTTGGGGTCATGATAGTTTGAACTCAGAAGTCAACTGCCAGTTAATAGACTTACTCATGGTAGTTTGAAGTCAACTGCCAGGTAATAGACTTTAGTTTGAAGTGAGAAGTCAACTGCCGATTGATAGACTTTTATTTGAAGTCAGAAGTCAACTGCCAGTTAATAGACCTTTTCAGTCAGAAGTCAACTGCCGGTTTATAGACTTTTTTGCCGTTTGAGTAGTCAGAAGTCAACTGCCGGTTAATAGACTTTTTTGTGAAGTGAGAAGTCAACTGCCAGTTAATAGACCTTTTTGCGTTGAAGTCAGAAGTCAACTGCCGGTTAATAGAATTTTTTTGCCGATAGTTTGAAGTCAACTGCCGGTTTATAGACTTCGAATATGACATAGAGAAGTCAACTGCCAGTTAATAGATCTGGTCATGGTAGTTTGAAGTCAGAAGTCAACTGCCGGTTTTGGGGTGATGGCAATTTGAAGTCAGAAGTCAACTGCCAGTTTAGTGAGGTCATGGTGGTTTGAAGTCAGAAGTCAACTGCCAGTTAAAGTGATGGTAGTTTGAAGTCAGAAGTCAACTGCCGGTTTACGGACTTTTTGCCGTATGAGTATACGTTGCCCAGGGTGCACCGATCCAGGGTGCACCATGTGGAGGTAAGTCTATCGCACACCCCTAAGTTCATATATTTAAACGATTAAAGCTATGCAATTGTCCACCCCTTTAAACAATTCTAATTCAATAAATTTTGAATAAGTGCATGTGACAATCGGTCATTCGCGATTTCCATCATGAAGAAACATCTAATGAGAACTAATCTGCCCACCAATCAAAAGCTCTTTGAGATGCCTTGAAAGGCAGCTACAATGTCCTTTTTTTCTAACGTCCGGTCATGGAAATTAGCAATGAGGATGGAAATAAAATTAGCCAAGGTGTACTGTTAAAAAGCAAATACCCTTTGTAATAATCAGGCTAATATCAGTAGCTTCAAAAAGGGAATCTTCTCGATATCATCGCCTTTGATTATTTTTGACATTAAAACGCTAAACTTCGTTGTCGTTTCAGTGCTACATGCAAGAGCAATTAATTAATCATTCGTTTTACCACCTCACTTAATTGTTCTATTCTTAAGTAATATAAAGGATAGTAAACGGTGTACATGGTTTGAAAATGTCATATATGCAATGTTGGAAATGTCGATTCGCAAGCTAGAAAGTACTAGGGATCGGTACAGACCTATTATGATTAGAAGGAGGTTGTGTCAGGTAATGGTTAATAGAGACAAGCAGACACACAAGGAAGGTACTTGAATACCTACGGAAGACTTATTAATAGGAAAGAAACTGGTCTGTATCTCTTAGAGTTCAACAATAAATGACAATCCACACACACAGTATGGATTTAGGCAGAAATACTACCAGTTATGCCACTGCTATCATGAAAACCAACTATATTATCAAAAAGATGTATTTTCATACATCAGGCATGAGCAGTTGACTTATAAGTGGCATTAAGGGAGATGTGAATGGTGTTTTGGAATGACTGCCAATAGGAGATCCAAGAACAGTCTGAAATAAAGACATAAAAAATTGTTATTTAATATATTAGAATGAATTAAAAATTTAATATTTTAAATAATCCAATCACTATATAAGAAGTAAATAAAATGCCAAACCCAATCTTATCAAATAGCGATTTAATCAGGTCATAAATACTAGTCGTTTTAGTCAAGCCTTACAATTTGATCTTATTAGAAGGAAAATTTAGATGCTTTTAATGCTTTGTATATTGACTCTATTTCTTTTGGTGGAAATGTAATATATATTTTAAGAAAAACTTTTTAAGCTTACCAAAGTTTTTGTAGAAATTGCAATATTTTCCTCAAAGGTATGCGGACCAAACTCAGAATCGTATTTTCACCATGATATTGAAGATCCTTAAGAGGAAAGTAGTCATTCAAATATTCTCAATTTATATTCTTCACATGCTATTAACTTTTTCCTGATTGTGCTAGACAGGTTTGCTGTAAGAAGTCAAATTTATTCTGACCAATTCGGTGAACTGAGTAGAGAACACAATCCTAATACCTTTAAACTTACCAACACCATAAGCACAGTTTTTCTAAGTCAAGTAATGTTTGCACTTATTCAACACCAGCAATATATTTTGTTCTTCATTGTTATTTACTAGATATTCTCCACTTCACATCTCTGTATCTTGTCAATTTGTAAATTAATTAATAATAAATGAATAGTTTATTGACCTTAAATTCTTAATTTTAGGACGATTTTACTTAGTTTGAGTCTTTCTTCAGGGTAATTGGGAGGTTGAATGTGTAAGGGAATTCCTACCTTTCTTGAAGAGATCATATTAGCACTTCCGATGTAATAAATTTGTGGCTTTTCTCTAACAGATTCAGGGCCGAATATCTACAATTGGGTCAAAAAGTTAAAATCAATTAGAGTTCTTATAAAATATTCGTGGTCTTTTAGTTCTATTCTTTACAGTGTCAGTGATGTACATGTAGCGGACTGCTATGCTAGTAAAGTCTGATTGATTCAGAAATCTCTGTGGCAGATTCTCCTACATCTTGCTAGACTCCGAGAACCAGCTAAGCTATAGCCCAGCTATAAAGGAAACAGACGTGTAGCACGGAGTACGCTTATTCAGGACGTGTATTGCGGATCAAGTGTACACGCAGAGAGCTACTCATGATCAGGATGGGGGATTAGGTTAAACAGAGGTTGATAATTGGTCACTGTTTGTACGGTCGCAGCACACAGAGTTGAACGGC